AATAAATAAATAAAATAAAGTAATAATAATAAAAAAAAAATACTTCCAAAAGCACAAAGAAACCGTCATCATTTCTTTTTCTTTTCCTTTTTTTTTAAATTTTTTTCTCGGTTGCCTTTTTTTGTTTTCCTTTTTCTGCACTGTTTCCTCCCCTACTCTCTTTTCGTCTCTGCTTGCTTTTCTTTCTATTTTTTTTTAAAACCCAGCCATTAAGAAAGCTCATTTTTGTTCTTTCTTTTTTTTTTTTACCTGATGCATCTCTTAAAGTAATGATAATATCTCCGAAAAATAAATCCTTTATGGGTAAACAAAAACAAACAAACTGACTTCTCCCAACAAGATTCTGCCTTACTGGTAGAATTCCCAACAATTAATATTCCAAGATATATTTTTTTTATTCAAGATTAATTTCAGGCAAAACATGGAAATAAACAATTTGAAAGGGAAATCAAGCAACTACCAATCTCCAAAGAGAGGAAGAAAGAACAGAGTATAACAAAAAGGAATCGCAGAAGAACAAATTAAGAATGATGCACACCTGCAGAAAAATAGGAAAATCAAGACTTTATTTCTTGAACCCCAAGTACAAGTTTCTGATTTGCCTTTCTTCTTTGCTCTCTTTCTCCCTCTCGATCTCTCCAATATTCCTTTTGAGCTTCACCAATTTTCTCCCCTTCTCCCTCAATTTTTCCCCCAATTTTCGACCTCCCCTCTCAAAGCCGAAGCTTCCCCTTTTATACAGAAACAGGGAGAACCCAAACCCTTTTCTAATGCTAAATTCTTATCTCAATCCCTAAAATTACAGAGAATAATCTAGCCCTATTAGAATTTGAAATTCTAAAACTAATCTAGTTCTTTGCACATCTTCCCTCTTTTAAGGCTAGATTCATACCTTTAAAATATCAGGACTCCCAATTTGAATCGACTTCAAAAATCTTCTGCGACTCTTGATAAGGACTTCAAATCCGAAAATCTCTTCTTGTGTTGTTGTGATCTATCCAAACTTTGAATGGATTTAGAGATAAATCAAAAGATTTTGGGAGCTTTTGGGAGAGTGGCTGGCGGCAAAGCAAAAGGAAGCAAGAAAAATTGAGGGCTAGGGTTTGTCTGAACCCAGCCCCTTTTTATTTTTTAGCCCATTGGTCAAAACGACGTCGTTTTGCCATTTTCCTTCTCAGCACTTCAAGTTTTCAGCCTTTATATAAAATAGTCCATTACCTTCTAATTTTATCATTTAGCCCCAATTAAAATTGGGTTATGACAATCTTCTCCAAAATCAATGTTGTTGCCTTCTGTATTCCCTGGTGGCACTTTGCAGCTTCTTTACCCAATTCCTTAATGGTTTTCTTGAACTCTTCCAATTTCTTTCTTCTCTCATCAATAACACCCTCCACTGGCTGTTGTCCTCCAAGTGCAGAATTAGCATCATTCAAAAGTACCCGTATCTTCTCTGTGCCCTTAATTGTAAGGTCACCAGTAACACTCTCCATTGTAAGCAACTCCTTCTGCCATTCCAATTTTTTCTCATAACGATTCAAAAGCCAGCTACACCATTTTCCGAGTGAAGCAACAGAAACTACCAAGGTACTTGCTACAGATGTTACTACAGGTGATGATGCAATGGCAGCAGCTACCACCGAGAAAACCGCTGTAGAGACAAACAGGGTAACAAACAAGATATTAGACACCTTCCTCCATGTTTTCACTGATTTCAAATTCTTATCCACCACCTCCTTTTGCTGTAGCAATTTCTCTAACAACGAGACCCGCTTGTCACGCACAGACGAAAACCGTCCAGAGAAGTCCCCCTCAAATGGCTTCTCAGCAGCTGTAAATTTGTTTGGTTCGTCCAATGTCTTCCCGAAATTCCTTTCTTCTCCCCCATCCAGTACTTCTTTCTCGAACTTTTGAACTGCACGCTGAACAATCTTTTGCTTCTTTCGAGCACGTTTCAAGCAAATCTGAAGGTCTTCAAAAACCGCTAATATCTGTCTGCGGTTCTCTAAGCATTCCTTCACCAAAGACGACAATTCTTTATTTTCACATATATCCTCCTTGGAGTCTAGAATGACCTTGACAACATCCATCTTCATTTTAAGATATAATCCAACAACCTCGGGAAGTGACAACACTTGATTTTGAACCTTAACGTCAATAGCATACCCGCTGTCAGTATTGACTGATGGCGGTGGTTCTGGTACATCAGTGATGACTTGAACCAGCTCTGCCGCATCACTGCCTTTAGTATTGCTACTTCCAGCTTCCATCATTTCTAACACAGACACACGCAGGAATTTAGTTTAGGACAC